CTGGAGATATGACAGGATAACAAGAAAGCACTAGTTGTCTCTGCAAAGATCATGACCATGTGATTTAGTATAGTAACTTCCTACTTGGTTTAGCTGAGACACAGGGCTACTTCTCTTCTGAAGCACTAGGAATTCCTGAGTATAGTTCCCAGAAAAGTAGTGGGAAGGGGTGACAGCCTCTGAATCATTGTACCTGCTAACAGCCTGTTAATCTTTTGTCAGTGATCATATTATAGTGTATCGAAGAGTTACCACTTCATGCAAAAGAGAAAGATAGCATGCTGGACTTCCTGTTTGAGGTTCTCTTCCCTCTTGAGATAAAAGAGTTTCTCATCAAAGTCAGGATCCACGCATGCTTGGGCAGGTAGCTCAGACTAGGCGAAGGCCAGGCTTCAGCTAGCTGAGGAGGAACACGTGTACTTCCCAGCCTGAGGGCTCTGTGTTTCAAAGTGGGCAGCTATGGGGGTGAAAGAAGCCCCTGTTCCTGGGCCCGAGACTGACTGGGAGGTACCACTGATTCTACAAAGCATCACCTGTGGGCCTCTCCTCCTATGCTGTCTCAAAGCTGTGCTTCTCCTCTGATCCAAAACCACAAGGCCCCAGGATTCCTGGATGGGCAATCCTTCTAATGGCCTAGTAATTTCTCTAGACCTGGCCAGAAGAAGAGAATGCGGAGATAGGCTGAGTGCCAGAGCCATTTCCCTGCTTAGGGCCCATTTCCCTGCTTAGGACCCTGTAGGGGTCCAATAAAGCAAACCCAAAAGTGTAATGGGCCATCTGTTTAACACATCCCCATCTACTCAGTGACACTGCTCTCTATTTGTCAATTTCCCATAGTGCTTCAGCTGTAGGAAGCAGTTTCTTTGAATCATTCTTCCAAAAGCTCAGGTGGCAAGCCCTACTTTCCCGTGGATTGGAATTTAAGGAGACTTAAAAACAAAGCTGTCTCCTCAGGCGCTGACACTCTGTCCTGTGTTACTTTCTTTCATATCTCACAGCACAGTCCATCTTGTGCCTGTACCGCTGTGAGCTGTGTATGTGTTATTGCCTCTGGATCAGGTGAATAGTCCTCGTGTGCCCTTGGCACCCACAAAGCCCTTAGCACATTAGTTATTTGAGACTAGCTGGAGGGGGAAGTTTCTCCAAAACCTAGAGTTTCCCTTTGTGCCATGAAGCCACTTTTGGTCTCCTCACCACCCCCACTCCCATTACTGGTCACACAGAATGTATCATCAAGGCCTCAAGACAGGGGTAAAAGGGTCGACAGACGGTGGGGGCAGGGATGAGGAGTGAACATGAGTCACACGATTATCAGAGGAATGACGGAAGGCACAAACATCTTTTCTTGTGCAAGGGTCAGAACCTTGAGGCAGGGGCATAAAGGCAAGGTTGTTCACTACTCCCAGGTCTAGAGCTAATCTAAATTACTTTATGATAGAAGGCAATGGTGTGTGCAAAAAGCTGTTCCAGTTAGCCCCCACAGCCAGGACTACTTCTTTAATAATTTAGAACAAGTCTTTACTTTCTTAGCCTGCTGAAGAGATCAGCTGCTGCCTGTAAGGCCTGTCATACTTTTTTTGTTTGTTTTTGTTTCTGTTTTTCTGTTTGGAGGATGAACTTCTCACTCCATCTTCTTAAATATTGTGAAGTTCGTAGTATTAAGAGAGACAATCTCCTACCCCCACTCCAAGTCCAGGCCAGCCTCATCCCAAAATAATGGGAAGCTCTGTGCCCTATTTTCCTCAAAGATTCTTACATGCTAGTGGCTGACAGGGACAGGAATGGTGCAGGACTTTCAAGCACCAACGGACCCTTATACACATTTTCAGACAGGAATGCCAAGTGCATGTTGCCATGGGAGGAGTTTCCAGGCTTATGTGCACACTGTGATACCTGAGGAATTTTGCTTAGCTCTCTGGGTCTCTATTTTGTTACCTGCCCAAGACCAACTTCATTGAAGTATGTGAAGGAAGCAGGAAATTGGGGGATCTGAGGGGCTTTGGATGCTGGATGAGGAGAACCCATGCCATATTCTGGTCACTCAGCACAGAACAGTTGGCAAGACAAGCCCATCTTCCAGCTTCCAGGCACTATCATTCAATGCCACTGGGGGTTATGGTCCACACCAGAGACATGACCTCTTTCTTATTAAGCTTCTGTGTAGGGAGTTGTCACTCTTATTCCTGCTCACAGTCATTGCCTCTACAAGAGCTCTGATGCTGGAGTTCTAAGCCTCTGCACCCAAGAAGACCCACTTCAGAGGTGCATGGGTAGAATCTGGTATACCAAACGCCTATGTACCAAGACCTCATATGTCCAGAGGCATATTAAATTGAATTGATTGGGGCCCCATTATTGTCAGTTAACACCCTAGCAAATTGGGCTTTGTTAATCCCCCAATGAAGCCAAATCATGAATCCAAACTCCTGCATCTCCAGAGTTCAAAAAATTGAAACTTGAGGGGACGTGTCCGAGTCACAGGGAAGTCTGATTGCTCTTTGGTGCATCACGGATGCTACAAGGGGACATGCCAGGTGATAAACCTAATGCATTGGTCCTGCTTTCCCAGATCGCCTTCATGGGAGACCAAAATAATCCACATGTCCCCACTCTTGCTTTGAGCTGTCTGGCGACCTCTGGCAGACTGAATATTGGATCAGCAAGATGCTACTTTGAGAATCAGGAGAGAAGGGTACTAATACCAGCTGTGTTCCCCTGGGAAAATTACTTTACTGGGGTGAGACTTTGTGTCTCCATCTTATAAGTCAATTGCACAATCTTTTATCAAATAAGATTTTAAAAAATAGTTGTGTTAGAAAGGAGAAGCTTGGGACAAAATGAAAAGGTTAACATTTTCTTACTGTGTATGTGGGGTGGAGGAAACTTGCCAGGATTTATATTTTCAATGCACTTCAGAATTTTTTCTCCATCCTTAGGGAAGACAAACCAGTTTCTTCCTTCCTACCCCCTTAGCCCAATTCCCTCCAGTCATATCATCCTTTCCTGGGCCCCTTTTAATCAATAAAACAGCGACTCAATCAACAAGTTTATTGATCACCTACTGTGTGCTCAGCAGTGTTACAAATAGATAGATACAGAGAGGTCTGAGATTTACCCACGCCCTCTGAAAGTTTACAGTATGCTTGTGAGATCAGACACGCATGCAAGAACATAACTATCAAACAAAAAATTTGGAGTGATAAGCATCAAGAAGCAATTTATATGCTGAGGGTTAGAGGAAGGAGGGGTAGGCGAGGGATGGAGTGGCCAGAGAAGGCTCAATGAAGAAGTGTTGGGCAAGCTTTCCTAACTTGAAGAGGACTTGGCTAAGGGAAGGGAGTCTTCCAGGTTGGCAGGACAGAAGGTAGAAACACGAAAGGTCTGCTGGAGACCTCAAATGCACCTCTTGCCGTGGTGCAGAGATTTGGAGAGCTGTATTAGGGATTTTGTGAGAAGCTGACGATACTTGGGCTGGTTAAGTGAAAATGTGTTTGGTTAATGAGCACTCCACTTCCTCTCTGGGGGACATGGAGCATTTGCAGACTTTGGAGGAGAAATTGTCCGCCTGGGAACCGTTTTCTACCTTCCTACCTAAGCTACAGTCCCGAGCAGCAGCTCAGTCATCACTCCCATCATGGACACAGCACCTTGGACATGGATGATGTTGGCGCCTCAAATACCCTTTAGCTACCCTGGAATAACTTCTGATTTATGGGGTGGAGGGAAGGACGTGAAGGTGGCAAAGGACCTGCCTGATGCTGTGGTCTTTCAGAAGCTCTGTGGATAGACCCTGAGATGGGAGGTTATGACAACCTTTGCAACTTATTTGCCATTAGACTTGGCAACTCTGTGGGTTACCACATCTCTCTGGTTTAAGTAGAAACCCCCCATTAGAGCCAACATACATGCCTATCCAGAATTATTACATACCAATGTTATTTTTCCTTAGCCAGAATGGAAGACCTCTTCATCATTCCCCCACAATTTCCACATGGCCGCACCCCAACCCTGCCAAGAACCATGTGTATAAAATCTCCACAGTGCTCACTTTAGTAGCACATATACTGAAATATGCTTTACAGTCCCTAGAAAAATCACTGTGTGGGCCCTCAGCCTTGTAGCTCAGACAAGAAGCCAAGTCAGGTGTCACTGAGAGGTAGAGGCTTCCGTGAAATTTGGAGCTGCAGTTTGGAAAGCAGCTCAGAGCAGGAGTCACAGTCTGGTCTGCTGCTGTCTTGAGCTTCTCACCAGGTGGTCTTTCCTTGTGCTTTGCTCTAGCTGCAGGTGTAATTCCTGAACCATGAGCTGGAGTGCAGGGGGAAACTGGGGGAAATGCCCTAGGAAGTGGTTCTCATCTTATTTTAGTCCCAAGCTGCCTTTCCTTCTTCTCATCATGCACCCACTGTTTCGTGGACACTGTGGGATGGCTTTATTTTGGTTCAGGTACCATCCAGGCTTGGCACTTTGAAGTTATAACAAGAGCAGTGGAATGAAGGTTCAGGGCCTGGGTACTAACCAATCAGTTTCTTTGAAGGGACACTTGAGAAGGAGGCTAAAGCCATGTCCAGAACTGTCACCATTCCTTTTTCCTTCTGTCCCCCAGTAATGAACTCAGAGCCATCCTGAGCCACAGGGAAAAGGTCTTTGATCACAGAGAAGATGCAGTCAGTGGGAAATGATTACTGGCTTTTGGAATGATTCCCAGGCAAACCACAAACTATGGGAGCCTCTGAGACCTGGCCAAGGGTAGTGGTTGGGAGCTTGGAGTTGAAGGCTGAAAACTCAGGGCAGGGGCACAAAGTGAGAGAAATACAAAGGCTGGCTTGGTGAGAATCCTTGCCCATTGAACCCTCATACTGTCTTGCCAGCTCTCACTTGTGCCTTCACTTGATCCAATGGCCAGAGTCATTCTATCCTCAGCAGCACCTTCTGACATGATCCAGTGGCAGTGTCCCTCACCTTGTAGCCCTGGGGATGGGGGATTGACCACTGGTTTGCACAGACCCAGCCATCCCCCCGACTCTGGCCCCTGATGCTTCACACATACCCTGTGAGGCTGTAGGAATTGAACTCACTCTTTGCTTTGGGAGCTTGACCAGGCCTTGGAGAGCTCCTGGTGGCGAGGGGCTGGGCCTGGTAGGCATCATAGTTGGAACGATTTCTCTGGGATGAGCAAGTAAAGCAGAGGATGATTCCAGCTACCATGGAGAAGAGAGAGGAAATCACACCCAAGTAAAGAGCCTCTCCGATCTCAAATTTCATGCTGTCAGGCACCAGTGGTGAGTAGAAGTCCCGTAGGATGCCGTGAAGATTCCAGACTACAGGGATGAAGCTCAGGAGACCTCCAAGGATGAAGAAGATTCCACCTGCTATCACCACTCTATCTTTGGCTCGAGATTCCTGGCAGAAGATCGTGCATCTCATGCCCACCACAGAAATAATACAAGCCAGGGAGGAGAAGGCACTGGAAGTGACCATCATGGCCTGAGCAGCCTGGATATCAGCAGGCAAGCCTAGCAGGGTGCTGTAGATGTCACACTGGGTGATGCCGGTGCTTTGTGTGGCGCATTCCATCCAGAGGCCCTTGGAGAACCCGACTGCTGTCACAATGCTGGCACCAACGTAAGAGCTTGTTCGCCAGTTGGGGAGAAGCATGGCAGTCATCGTGCCCAGTAGCCCCAGGAGGCCTAGGATGTAGCCCACAAGTTGGAGGCCAAGAGAGGCCATGGTGGATCTCTGAGTAGTAGTGTTTTCAGGGCCTGCTCCCTTGTCTTTCAGCTGTAGTTCTTGCTCCTTGGATCCGGTCTCTAATCCCTCGTTTCAGAGTGTCTCTGCCAGGTGGACTTCTCTCCTCCTTCCAAGTGTCTGTGGGTGGCTACCAGCAGACTCAAGAAAGCATCTAGAAAACCTTAAAAAGAATCCATAAACCAGATTAAATATTGACCAGAAGCTTATGAGAAACCAGAAAATGCTGAATGCCTTTTGACCTTTGTTATCTTTAGAAATAACACATGAGGGAAAGAAAAAAAAACTTGGAGCATAGAGTCAAAATGTCATCACCTTCTGCGTAAGCATATGTCTTAGGTTGGCAGACAGACAAAGCCAGAGGCAGGAAAGTGGTTGCCTTCCGAGAAGGCAGCAATGGCAGTGGCTTTTTTTTTTTTTCTGCCTGTGTTAACTCCACGGCTAGTTTCCAAGGCCTGCCATATGACAAACACATTGCTAAGCAACACTACCACCGGGCCCCTCAATTGCAGATTGAGGCCAAACTCCACGGGACTGGATCAGGAGGAAAAGTTCTCAGATGTAGCCTTGGACTCTGGTGCCTTAAGGGTTCTTGAGTCTCTAAGGGACTAGAGACTAGTGCCTTAGTCCTGAATCATCCTACTTACCATGAAAAGCTTCTTAAGGACAGATCTGGGTGGGCAGTAAAGACTTGTAGCCATACCATGAGAGTTCAGGTGTTCTGAGCCTGATCAAACCCCCCTCCAAAGGCTAGCCTGTGATCTCCCTATATATGTGATTCATCAGACATTGCCAGTCTGATTTTCTGGTAGATGACTTGGTAGATTGCCAGTCTGATTTTCAGGCTGACTTGACACACCCATCATTTGACTCTCTGGAACACAGGTGGTCTTAGGACCTAGAGCAAATCCTCAAATTCTCTGTCAGGGCACCTGGGGCAGACATAGGAAATGGAAGCCAATATAAAATAGGGAGCTTTACAAGAGGCAAAAAGTCAAGCCAGTCCTTGGCGATCTCAGGTCTGTGCAGGATCATTGCAGGATTCATAGAGCCATCCCTCTTGGCAATTTTATGGACACCAAGGGTGTAATCCTCTCTCTGTCTTCCACAAGCTCCTCCATCCTACTCACATTTCAATCCTCTACAGTCTGGCTGGTCCACTTTATCCTTCAATATTTCATTTTCCCTAGTCCTCTCTTTATATATCTATATATTTTTAAGACATTTATTTTTATTGAAAAGGCAGATGTACAGAGAGGAGGTGAGAGACAGAGAGAAAGATCTTCCATCTGATGATTCATTCCCCAAGTGAGTGCAACGGCCGGTGCTACACCAATCTGAAGCCAGGAGCCAGGAACTTCTTTCCGGGTCTCCCACGCGGATGCAGGGTCCCAGTGCTCTGGACCGTCCTCATCTGCTTTCCCAGGCCACAAGCAGGGAGCTGGATGGGAAGTGGAGCTGCTGGGATTAGAACCAGTGCCCATATGGGATCCTGGTGCATTCAAGGCGAGGACCTTAATTGCTATGCTATTGCGCAGGGCCCCCTAGTCTTCTCTTAAATGTGAAGCCCACCCTTTTCTCAAGCAACACCCTGTCTCTGAGCAAACTTGGCCACCACCGTGGTTTAATCTATTGTCCATCTGCTGCAACTCTCAAATCTGGATTTCCAACAGAGATGTTCTAGAGATGCAAGACTGGCAGAGCAAACACCACAACAAAAAGTCCACATGGAAATCTCATAGGTACCTAGAATTCAACATATCCCAAAAAAATAACCTTCCCACTCCACCTCCATTGTACCTTTTCCCAGAGAGTTTGTCATCGGGATTGCCATGGTCACTGTATGATATCTCTATCTATCTCCTTGCATTGGACTAAAATCCTGGGAGTGGTTCTTAACACCTTCTTTATGTTAACCCCCTGCATCCTACAATCACCATGTCCTAGCAGCTCCACCTCATGCACATATTGCAAATACATGGTTCCATTCTCTGCTTTTGCTTCTAGTTCCCTAGTTCAGAGCTCCTTCATTCTCCCTCACCAGCTTCCTAACTGGTCTTATTTCTAATCTTTCCTCATCCATTTCCTTCTCCATGCTATTGCCCAGGTGATCAACACTGTTAATCTAACCAAGTCACTGCTCTACATAAAACATTCCCCTATAGCTCAAGATTAAGTGGAAACATGTTTATCCTCCCTGACCTCTTAAGCTTTGACTCTTGCCATTTTCCTCCTCAAAGCCTACACTTTACTGAATTAGATTTTTTAAAAAGATTTATTTATTTTTTAATAGAAAGGCAGATTTACAGAGATATGAAGAGACAGAAAGGTCTTGCATACGTTGGTGTACTACCCAAATGACCACAACAGCTGAAGCTGAGCCCATCCGAAGTTAGGAGCTATGACCCTCCTCTGGGTCTCCCATGTGGGTGTATGGATGGGCCCAAGGCTTTTGGCTATCCTTCACTGCTTTCCTAGGCCACAAGCAAGGAACTAGAAAGGAAGTGATAGATAGGATATGAACTGGCACTCATATGGGATCCCAGCTGTTGCAAGCCACTAAGCCACCATGCTGGGCCAAAATTAGATGGGTTTTGCATCCTCAGTCACGTTGTGTGATCCCTTGCTCCCGAATCTGGCCCCAAGCTGCCTAATGCTGAGTGTCATGCATCCTTCCTCTTCTGTTCAGTGTCCTCTGCTCCTTTAGGACTCAGCTTAGATGTTTGTAGCTCTAGCTTGGGTTAAGTACTCTTCTATGGTTTTGAACTCTATTGTGTTTAGTTATTTCATAATTATAATAATAACAAAATCTATATCAGAGATATTTGCAAAAGCTTGTAGGAAAATGGAATTGAAAGATGCTTATCTAATGGGAAAATTTTCAAATCTGTGCACAAATTTTTAATTATACATGCTTTACATAACTCTTGATACTCTTGATAATGTTGTTTTCACAGTCATTATAAACATTTTAACATGTTGACTCCTTTAACCATGATACTTTATGTATTGTATAGATGAGGACACTAGGTAGAGATAGGACTTTTGCAGTATTTAGCGATTTCCTAGTTAAGCTCTTATTATTTTTCCCTGTTAGTCTATGAGTACTTGAGGGCAGGGAATATATATTACTTTTTATCTCTATATCACAGAGTATAATGTATATTGAAGAGTATTTTATATATAATAATGTATAATGTGTATTAAAGAGTATTTTATGCATACCTGGTATTTAAAACATTTTCTTTTAAAAATATTTATTTACTTATTTTAAAGTCAGAATTACAGAGAGAGGGGGAGGAGAGAGTAAGAGAGAGAAAGACTTTTTTTAAAACTTATTGGGTCACTCTCCAGATGGCCACAATAGCCAGGGCCTAGCCAGGCTAAATCCAGAGGGCAGGAGATTCATTTGGGTCCTCCAAATATTTTGCAGGGGTCCAAACACTTGGGTCAACTTCCTCCACTGCTTTTCCCTAGACCATTAGCAGAAAGCTGGATCAGAAATGATCAGAAATGGAGCAGCCAGGACACAATCTGCACCCACATAGGATGTGGCATTACTCCCTATGCCACAATGCTAATCCAAAAATATTTTCTTAATCAAAAAATGATACAGAGATTTGAGGAGTTCCATATGACTATAAAATAGGGACCTTCTGGGAGTGGGTGCTTGGTCTAGTGGCTAAGACACCCACATCCCATTTTGCAGTACTGGTTGTCTATGACTAATTCTAGTTCCTCACTCCAGTTGCTTTCTTAAGGCAGACCCTGGGAGGTAATGGTAATGGATCAAGTTAGTGGATTCCAGATACTCACTTTGGAGACCTGGGTTATGTTCCCGGATCCTGGCTTCAGGTTCAGCCCTGGCCAGTTTGAGCATTTTGGGAGTGCATCAGTAGATAGAAAATTCATTTTCTCTGTCTCTGTCTCTGTCTCTGTCTCTGTCTCTCTCTCTCAAATAAATAAAATAATAAAAAGTTTGTTGGAAAGCAGAATAAAAATATAAGCTTATTTTGATGCAAACATTTTGAAATCTATGTGCAGTTCTCTTCCTCCCACTACCACTTCCTCTCTCTTTCTCCTCCCCTTCTCTTTCTCTGTTTCCCTCTCCTTCTCAAATAAATACAAAAATAAAGTTCCAAAGTAGGAGCATTCTAAATGAGTCAATTACATTTCCATAAGAGATCACCAACATGCTTTCCAACATTTAGAAAGAAGTTTGTGAAGGAGTTCAAAGGAGCAAGGGAGTAGATGGAAGGTGGGGAGACAGAGAAACAAGCAGAGAAGGAAAGCATGTATATATAATATGCTGTATATCATTTCACTTTAACCAAATTCTAAACAACGTGTGGATAAAAAACATACATTAAACTTCTGTTGTGCCTGCTCAGCATTGGGCACATGTTCTATCCATCAGCATTGGCTATGGCAGAACAGGAGCCAATAAATATTTGATGAAGAGGTGGGGAAGGAGATCCAGTTCTAATCTAGCTGAGACGCTGAACAGCTGTGACATTGAGCAAGTCGTTTCCCAGCACTGGCTTTCCAATTGCTGTACTGGGCACAATTGCACCTGTCCTGAGGCTTTTGGAGATGCTTGACATTATTTCTGCTTCTCCCTGGTAAGCATCCTCTTGGTGACTGCTATATATACTTCCCATACTTTTGGAGCTCCTATTCTATCTCCTCCCTAAGCAGGTATTGCATGATCTGGATAAACTTTTTTTTGAAGCTACAGACTTTAAACCATTTAATTTTGACATATCTACCTTTTTACACTCTCTCACACTGTTCACTCCATGGTGTGGCTTCTCATTACTTCTCCATTGGAAATATTCTCCCCAGGGTTATTAACCATTTCCTTGCCTGAAATCCAGTGGCTGTATCTCTGCCATCTAACCTTGTTGCTCTCCTTCAGAAAGCTATCTTCATGCCTGTTGTCACTACCATCACTCCCAGGTTTCCCTGCCCCTCCACAATGAGTCTTCTAGGTCTTCGTTCCTCTTCCTCTGCCTGCCCCAAATCTGTTGCCTCCAATGTCACACTCTTTATTCACATTCTCCATTGGTGATTTCACCCACTGCATCTCTATGCCAATGACTCCTGAATCTATACCTCTGCAGCACATCTCTCTCCTGAACTCAGGGTTTCTACAGTGAA